GGTTATAAACATCTACTTTGCTGTGCCTGCCTCGCCCTCCCCGCCACCCTCGCTTGCCAAGGCCCGACCCTGGGGTCCCAGGGCGCAGGGGATGTGTGAGACCCCCAGCCCCTTCCCGCCCCGCAGAAGTGGCGCCAGAGGGGTGTCGGTGCGCTGAGCAAGGAGGTATGGAAAAATGAGGTGCTGTTGTGGAGTCTTCTACGAAAATACTCTGGGGTGCAACTTTGGGGTGTCCCTGTGTGAGCGTTAGGGAACAGGTCTCGGGGCGGGGGTGGGGGGCGACTTTGCCGTCTTAACCCCCAATTCCCAGAGAAGCCCAGCCTGAGCCCTTACTGCGTGGCGCGTTTCTCTAGGTGAGGGGCTGCGACACTTCTGTCTGCAGCGGCCATCTGTCTCTGACAGCGAGAGAGTTGCCCCCTTCCCGCAGCGCCCCCCCACTTATTGCACCAGTAGTTGTGAGGGGGCTGTCTAGGAAGCTGTGGAGCTGGTTGAGTAAATGCACACAGTAGGTGCCTATTAAAGTGTCAGAATCTCTAAGCAGTGTTGCAACCTCAGCCCGCTAAGCAAAACCCTGTGTCGTCATCGTTTTCTTAATGCGAAGAGTCTGGGGTAGGGGAAAGGGGGGAAGATTTGACCTGGGTGCCCAGCTTAATAGGGATGAACCTTCAAAAGAATCCAGACGCCTTACTGGGGAGCCCACCAGGTGAACCTGTCTGGGCTTTCCCAGAGCTGAACACCTCAAAATCTGCTCCCCTTTTCAGCTCAGGTTGCAAAAGTGATGGTCAGGGTCAGGCTGCGTACCCCGGGGGTCAACGTATTTCCCTCCACTGTCCCCATCCCCACTGTTAGGAGGACTTGAGGTGTCGTATTTGCTTTTGGGGGTCGGGAGAGAAGGTGTTTCTCATGCTCCTAAGAACTAGGGAGTGTACTGTGGTCATTTCATCACTGGGAACGTGGCAGAGATTTTTCTCCTGCGTGCATTGAGCCCCATCCATGCTCGGATAGGAAGTGCCTACTGTGTGCCGGACTGGTAGGACCCAAGAGGGCTGTTGGTGCCCTCGGGGACAGTGGTGGGCTGTGTGGGAGAAGACAGGCTTTGCCTTGGCTTGGGGCCTGGTGGGGTGATTGTATAACCTTTCTTGTATCTCAGGGGCTGAATGCTTCCCGGCCTGCAACCCCCAAAATGGATTCTGCGAGGATGACAATGTTTGCAGGTAATAGAGTGGCTCCATAGAGGCAACTTGTGGGGGCCACGCAGCAGTCTGGGGAGTCATGAAGTCAGGCAGAAAAAACAGGGGACTTGGCCACTGCGCTGCAGCAAACAGCTTCCTGGCCCCTTCAGAAAACTGGTGGGGGCAAGCGTGGGAGATGAGGGCAGGGGGTGGGGACAGCCATAGCTCCTGTCTGCATTCTCAGAGGTGGGGTGGCAGGTGAGACCTCTGCAGGCCACTGCGGCAAAACGCAGCACTCCCCCGGGATCTCGGGGCCCCTCCAGGACGGCCCTTGAGCTTGGCATGCATTCTCTGTCAGTTTTCCCATTCAGGTGACTGATGGTTCCTTCCCAGGACCACTGGCTGGCACTGTGCAAAGACCCCCAAGGGTCCTTGGTTCCACAGAAAGTAGCCTGAGCTCCCTCTCTACCCCTGCCCTCTTCATATGTCCCCACCTTTCTCCCCCACCCCTTGCAGGTGCCAGCCTGGCTGGCAGGGTCCCCTGTGTGACCAGTGCGTGACCTCTCCCGGCTGCCTTCACGGACTCTGTGAAGAACCCGGGCAGTGCATTTGCACCGACGGCTGGGATGGGGAGCTCTGCGATAGAGGTTGGCACTCGCCTTTGTTTGCTTCAGCCCTGCATCCTTACCTGCCTGCCCTAGCCCCCACCACCTCCTCCCAGTCTCCTGTTGCTGGCGGCCCTCACTTCCTCATTCCTGCACACCTCGTGCCCTGTATTCTAACGATCTGTTTATAAATTTCCTGCGGGTACCGAATGCCTCCTCAGAGGTAGGGACTGTATTTTGCTCTCCTCTGCACCATCAGCACCCAGCACCTAGAGAAGATGTGGGGTGGGAGCCGGGGAGCTTCCTGTTGAATAAAGAATCACAAAATACACACACAGTTGGGCCGGTGGGACCACAGACCTCAGGCCGCCTGTCCAGGTCACGGAAGCCCAGAGATGGACAGGGCTCTGGGGATCTCGGAGCTAAGACTCCCTAGAAAAGCACACGCAAGACCGTAAAGAGGCTGCAAACAAACAAATGGGGTGGGGGGTGGCCAGCACTGCTCAGGGGTTGAGGGGCAGGTGCTGAGTCACAGCCAGAAGGACAGGGCTGGGGGGCCTGGACTGAGCGGGTCAGGTATAGGGGGAGGCTGGGGTTGGGAAAAGCTGAGAAAGGGTTAAAGTGAAGATGGGTGTTATCTGTTGATTTCATTAATTTATGCAATCTTTGCCTCCGTTACCCTAAGCAATTGAGAGTTGGCTGTCACTGCATTTTCAGGCTGCGAAATGTCCGTCTAAGCCCATTTTCATTTGGCAAAACCTGCCCTAACGTCTGGGCAAACTGAAGTCCACAAAAAAACTCCCAGCTGCGCAGCCTGCCCTCAGGGCCTCTGTCCCTCGGTCCCCGACATTAGTAAAGAGGTACAGATAGGGAAACGGAGGATCAGAGAAACACAAGTGTCTGCTAAGTGATATGAAAGAAGTTGGGAGAAAAGCCAGCTACAACCCTTTCCCCCAGCCCCAGAAAGAGAGTTCATTTTTGTCTTCGATTGCAACTAACATCCTCCCTTAAGGAACACTTAAGAGCGTTTTGTTATGGCCCCTGCCCTATACAGGCAGGGCAGCCATGGCTCTGAAGCTGAGCTCCCTCACACTCCAAATTGTCTCTGGTCCTTCATTCCTGCCCCCCTAATACGGTGCAAGGTTCCCCGTGGCTGACTCATGCTGTGGCCGGCGTCTCTGCTGCCCCTCACAGAAGCAGTGGCAGCAGCTCTGAGTTGTTTGGGGATCTGGGGGATCCCAGCAAAGCCACCATGTGGGAGCAGGGTTAGGGTTTTAGCCTGGAGCCCATCTTCTTTGGTATCTAAATGCAGTACAGCCTTGCTGAAATTTTCCAGACAAATGCCTCCCTTCCCATGGGCCCTTGGTATGTCCCCTCCCCACCAGATTGACAAAGGCAGCCAGCTTGGGGATGGCCAGAGAGTCTAGGGTCCCAGAGAAGACACAGCCCTCCCTCCCCCTGTTTGCCCATCTTTGAGGCTGCCGTGGCCACAGCTGCTGTCCTGGCAGAGACCCCCAAGCAGCCTTCTCCTCAGAGCTGCTTAATTCACCCCTGCCTTGGGATTGGAGACTCAGGAGGGCTGATCCAGGATTGGCGTAGCAGGGAGAGCTGCAGGGACAAGCTGAGGGTGGTCGCCAGCTTTTTAGCTTAAATTTAAGATTCTGAGTGACAGGAGAGCCGGTTGCAGAGAATTAGGAGCCTGACGCGGAGTTGCCGCGTGCTGATGCCTCGCCGGTGCCGTCCCATAAAGATAAATCCTCTTTATGTGTCCTTGCACCAAGCTGGGCTTCCGTGGAACGCCACAGGGTAGTCCATCAACGCGGCGTTCAGGCTCTTCCTTCTTGATTGATTGCAGTCTCCCCTCCACAAGGGTGTGGATCTCTCTGAGAGGGAACAAAAAATACGCACGTGTGTGGCTTCAGCACGGGGGATTTCCTCCCCGCACCCCCACCAGCCTGCCTTAGCTTGCTGTGTCTCTCACTGGCCCTGGCTTTCTGTTTGGCAGGTGCAGCAGCTCAAATTATAGAAAATCAAAGCTGAAGAGTCCCTCAGAGATTGGCCAAGGAAAGACCCTCTTTTTATAAGTAGGGAAACTGAGGCACAGAATGGGGAGGAGCTGAACTCTGCTGCCACATGGCAGCAGGCTGGATACAGGGCAGGACAGGGGTCCCTTCCTGGCCCCAATGGGGAGCTGGGGTCTCCACCGTCAGAGAGCCCCTGGCGAGGGCCCTTGTGTTCAGCTCGTCCCTGGCTTGCTGAACCTGAATAATGAAGTGTGCCTGATGGAAGGTGTTAAAAGATGGTGGGAATATTCCAGTGCTCATGGAAGCCTGCACTGATAGGAGAGCGCTCAATAGTTCTAATTTTCCTGACTTTAAAAGATGCAGCCTTTTTACCAGGGACCCCTTGAGTTCAGAGCCTGAGTGCAGGAAGTGACCACAGGGACACGTGTAGTGCTGGGGCTAACAGGTGTCTTCATTCCTGACTGAGGGGGGTCTTTACATCTCCATCTCCCTCACTGCCCCTCTTTGACGGAAAAGTATGAAGAGCTGGTGGTTTTTCTGAGGGTTGGGCTGTATTCGTCCCCCAGCTGGCCAGGACCCCTCCCCCAACAGGAGAGGCTGGAGGTGCGTGCAGTCTTGTCTGGTGTAGACAGGCCTGAGGGAATCTCAGCTAGGCGTGCTATTGCAGGGAGGAGCGTGATGTCCACAGTGAACGTCATGGACATGTTGCTGGATATGGGGTGACCTGGTGCCAGGCAAAGGGAACAGCTATCCTGGCTTGAGTACCAGTGGCCACGACTTTCTGATCTGTGACCTTAGACAAGGAAACCCCATTCAGCTTCCTGAGCCTCAGCTAACTCACTTCGTGGGATTTTTTGAGGGAGCTCCCTACACCGTCTTACTCCAGACCCCACTTGGTGGCCACAGAGCCGTTTTAAAGCCCACCGGGGTCCGCATCACGCTTGTGTATGGAGAGGAAACTAAGTTCTTGTCTTCTCCATCACCCCGCAGATGTTCGGGCCTGCTCCTCGACCCCCTGTGCTAACAACGGGACCTGCGTGAGCCTGGACGATGGCCTCTATGAATGCTCCTGTGCCCCTGGGTACTCGGGAAAGGACTGCCAGAAAAAGGACGGGCCTTGTGTGATCAATGGGTAAATATCCTTCCCGACGATGTGTGATCTAATGAATGCTGCTTTTCACGCACCCGCTAAAGACCCTTTCAGCCTAACCCCGTTGGACCTGTCGTCTGACAAAAGATGAAGTAGGTGCTCATCCTGGCAGCCCGTGGGGGACAGCCCTGGATGGGGGTGTTTAGGGGGGAATGTGTCATTGCCGTAATTTTTTCAAATGATCCCGAAGGCGATTTCATATTCCCCTGATGTTCGCACGTCCTGATGCGTGTGACTGACAGTCGATTGGAATGGTGAACTGACACTCCGAGCTGCATAATTTTCTAAAGGCAACATAATGAGAGATTGGAGCTCCGCGGGGCTGAGGCTGTTTGAAACCCGCTTGCCGTATCTCAGGGGTGGTTTTGGGGAACTGGTGGGCTCTGCAGTTGGATTTTCTGGGATGTCTGTGGAGGGAGTTGCCAGGCTGAGAGGTGAAGCGATTGGGTTTCTGCCAGCACAAGAGGAGGTGGGCCGGCTGTCAGCTCTCCTCAGTGGGGAGGGAGGCTTTGGGACCCCTGGGCAGTGGATGCAACGGAATGGCCACTGTCTTCACTTGGACCTCCCTGAGCAATGCTTCCCAGTGGCTCAGCCGCTCTCCACCCGTTATCTCTGTGGCGGCCCTGAGCCATCCCTCCTCCCCGTTGGATGGGGCTTAGCCTGAAGCCAAGGGAGATCTTGACAGAGGCAGAGTCCGAATATAAGAATCCAAACTTGAACCCAGTCCTGGGCCTGTAGTTGGGGGGCGGGGGTGTCCCTTTCCTCTGAAGAAACAGAAGCTAACATGCAAATAAGCTTATCTTGACCGACATTGCGGGGTGGCAGAGACCGCGGTAGTCTGTAACAGCTGTAAGCGGACATTAACGAGGCTTCCGAAGATCAGTCTTCAGACGGGGTCAGAGTGGGGGCCGGTGACAACTGAGCTCCATTTCTGCTTATTAGCAGGAAGGATAAAAAGATAACAAGAGCTTTAAAATATTTTGTTTTTCTCGCTAACGGACTTAAACCAGTGTGTCAAAATAGAGCCTGAGGTCCTCGAAATTCCTTCAGAGCCCGGCTCCCATGGAGCCCGCACCCTGAAGCAGCAATGCTGATTTCTTGTGTTTATTGCCCCTTCTTCCCCGGAGTTTTGGCATTTATCAGATGACAAAGGGCTCGCTCGTTTAAAAGCACTTACATTAAATGCTCCTTGCGCTCCGCTTTGAGCAAACAGCTTTGGATTGCAAGCTGCACTTGGGTGAATGGACCACTATTAAACAGCCTGGCACAGACACCGGCTCGTGCCAGCATAGACAGACCTCGTATTGCTTTCTCTTTGAGAGTCCCCAAGCGCTTCCTGCACAATAGCCTGTGGATCCACTCTGCTAATGATGATGATAATAATAATAATAATGAGGGTTGGCAGCGACAGTGGCCATAGGCAGGAAGGACGACAGCGGGTCCCGGGATAGGGTGAGGGGTGCCCCTTGCTTGGTTCTTCTGCCCCAGCAGCCCAGGGATGGAGCTAAGGGAAGGGGGTTTGCTCCAGTCCTGGGCTGTCACTGACTTTTCCTCTTCTAGCCTCAGTTTCCCCAGCTGGTTAGTGACTAACCAACAGTCCTCTGGTTGGAGAGGTGCAGAAAGAGGTGGGAGAGGACGTGAGCGTCCTGGCATGGGAGGTCAGGTGTGTCCCAGGTTAGCATCGAGATGGGGGTGAGGTGGGCACCCACCCACCCCTAGAGCTGCTGGTGAGCCTCTTGCAGACAGGGGTCATGACCCTGGGCACCTCTCTGTGCCTCCCTGGCTGGCGTTCCCTCCTTCCCTCCCTCATTCACCTGATGTGTTTTGAGCATCTGCCCCTTAATTAGGCCAGAGATCTTCTGCCCTGAGCCCCGTGCCCTGCAGCGCTGTCGTAGCCCAGCCCCCAAGGCCCTTTACTGTGTCCCTGTTGTGTTGCAGCTCCCCCTGCCAGCACGGAGGCACCTGCGTGGATGATGAGGGCCGGGCCTCCCATGCCTCCTGCCTGTGCCCCCCTGGCTTCTCAGGCAATTTCTGCGAGATCGTGGCCAACAGCTGCACCCCCAACCCATGCGAGAACGATGGGGTCTGCACCGACATCGGGGGCGACTTCCGCTGCCGGTGCCCGGCCGGCTTCATCGACAAGACCTGCAGCCGCCCGGTGACCAACTGCGCCAGCGGCCCGTGCCAGAACGGGGGCACCTGCCTGCAGCACACCCAGGTGAGCTACGAGTGTCTGTGCAAGCCCGAGTTCACAGGTCTCACCTGTGTCAAGAAGCGCGCGCTGAGCCCCCAGCAGGTCACCCATCTGCCCAGCGGCTACGGGCTGACCTACCGCCTGACCCCTGGGGTGCACGAGCTGCCGGTACCGCAGCCCGAGCACCGCGTCCTGAAGGTGTCCATGAAAGAGCTCAACAAGAATACCCCTCTCCTCACCGAGGGCCAGGCCATCTGCTTCACCATCCTGGGCGTGCTCACCAGCCTGGTGGTGCTGGGCACCGTGGGCATCGTCTTCCTCAACAAGTGCGAGACCTGGGTGTCCAACCTGCGCTACAACCGCATGCTGCGGAAGAAGAAGAACCTGCTGCTTCAGTACAACAGCGGGGAAGACCTGGCCGTTAACATCATCTTCCCCGAGAAGATCGACATGACCACCTTCAGCAAGGAGGCCGGCGGCGAGGAGATCTAAGCAGCCCTCCCACAGCCCCCCTAGATCCTTGGAGTTCCGCAGAGCTCACTATATGCGGTCTGTCCTAATCTTTGTGCTGGAGTTCGCGCTTTCTTGTGTCAAATGTGGTGAACGCTACGCTTACATATATTGTCTTTGTGTTGCCGTGTGACAAGCGTAATGCTAAAACGATCCTCTTTCTCTCTCTTAATGCATGATACAGAATAATAATAAGAATTTCATCTTTAAACAAGTAAGAGAAATAAGTATGTTATTCTAAACTCTAAACTTAATGAAATATCAAAAAAGACCAAAAAAAAACAAGGCAACAGAACCAGGGCTCAGTGCCGACGCCCCTCCCCTGGGGGTCTCGGCCACGGAGTCCTCGTGAAACCGTTACGAGTGCTGTACATGACCACCCACTGTGCAAAGGGCTACGATTACTTTCGTTCGTTAATTCTCACACACCACATCCGACTCGCACTCACATCCAGCTCAACACCGCTACCTTTAGATCTTTCCGATTGATTTGAGATTTAGCGGAGTGCAGCGGCTGTGTGTCAGGCAGAGAGAGCCCCAGGTTGGCTGCTGGGGGGCTGGGTCCCTGTCCCAGCCCTGCCACTAACTCGCTGTGTGATCCTTGGCGAGTCCCTATCCCAATCCTGGGCCCACTTTCTCGCCCCTCTCGAGGGAGGGGTTTGAACACCGACCATCACAGTCCTCTCTGGCTCTAAAACTCTGAATTAGGAACGAGGGGGTATGAACCAAAACACTTCCTGACCCCAAAAATTAGGATCTGATGAAGACTGAGTCTCATCCTGGGATCCGAAAGGTTTTGGCCTATCCTGGATGAACACTTGATGTGGAAATTTATCCTAACTGCGTTTCTCAAAGTGGGGAGCCTCCTGGCCCACTTCCCATTTGGGAAAAAATAGCCCCTTTGGGTCATAATGTGCCATCTGGAGTTGCCACTTAGGCAGCCAGCCCTCTCCCACCCCTCCTTGCCCACCCAGAGCCCCAACACCATGCCTGCCCCTACCCTATCCCTTGAGACTTGAATGCACTTTGAGCCGCAAGTGCCCCTGGCAGAATCTGAGCAGCAACACAGCCCTCACCAAGGTTTTCACGAGGATTAGTGGAAATTGTCACTTGTGGGGCGCTTACTAGTTCTGTGGCAAATGTGGTCCAAGACCTGGCCCACACAGCCACGGGTTGACATTTGTGTTGCTGAGTTAATAATTCTCAGATCTCAAAAGACCTAGCCAGCTTCTGAATTTTGTATTTGACTTTTTTTTTTAACAAAGAGCATCTATTTTTTTGTGCAAAAATAGAAAGAAATGGGACAGAGCTCTGTTTAGCTTTTCAGCTTTTGAGGTTGGGCAGCTAAACAGCCCTTGGGTACCAGATAGGAATATTTTGCTTCTTAGATGATTTAGATAAGAATCTAGACTCTTAGCTTTTGTGAGCGTTGCCTGCCGTGTTTACCTTGCTCCAGGTGTTTATTTCTGTCATCATCACCTTCGTCATCTGCAGTCAGTCACATCAGTCACCCGCACACAACTCACAGTCACCCACCCATTGGTTACCTGCGCCGTCGTCATGACACGATATCGACCTCATCGCCTCATCGTCCTCCAACCACCGCCCAAGCCCCCTCATCCTGACTCAAAGCCCGACCAGCATCTGCCCAAACTCCCAACACCCCACTCCCCCCCACCAAGCCATTGGTCTCTTCACACCCAGTCCTTTGTCATCCTGATTCCAAGCCCCGCCCTACCCTCACCACCTACGTCATCTGCACTCTGCAGAGTCCCTCCTACCTGCCTCTGTCCCCGCCAGACCCCTCCCTGCTTTCAGCCCTGAGTCTCCAGCCCCTCCCAGCCTCACCCCTAAAACCCAGTAACCTCCTGACCACTGTCATCACTGCCAAGCCCCTTCCCCTTCCCCTCCAGCTCCCGTCCCCACCACCCCTCCTGTCCTCCCATCCTTCCCCTCCTGTTAGCGCACCCCTCCTTTCCTATCACCCCTACCCTTCCCCTCCGATCCCCCTCATCCTTCCCCTCCGATCCCCCCACCCTTCCCCTCCCAACCCCTCATCCTTCCCCTCTGATCCCCCCCAGCCCTCCGTTTCTATCACCCCCACCCTTCCCCTCCCTTCCCTCACCCCAAATCCCTGGATCCTCCGCCCCAATCTCTGACAACCGCCCCAAGTCCGTCTTCCTCCCCAACGAAGTCATTCAAGTCACCATCTCATCTCATTTTGAGTTCGTTTTAAGAAATAAAAAAATTTAAAAGACAAAAAAAAAGAATTGTTGGCATGTGTCAGGCGGGCGTCTGGTACCCCGCCTGGCCTCTCTCAGCGTGAGACCTGGACTGAGTCTGCTAACGATTCTGTTCCTCAGTTTCCCCAAATATAAAATTCTAAGATTGGTGAGACGATCAAATTCTCTATGTTTTCGATCTTGATGCTGTAGAGAACAGCCATGTTCCCCTAATAACAAGAAAAAGACGTCCCACGGTCGAGGTATCCTTGACCAACTCCCCATTCATTCATTTGCTCACCGTCCGCAACTCATCTGATCAGGAAGCATTTCCAGGCACCTGCGGAGCACTAGGCAGTGTGCGGGAGCTGCGGGGCAGGCAGGACGAGGGGGCAGTCTGGAGGGGGGTGGACACACAGCTGTCCCCAGGGAGCCCAGCGCGGTGCTGGTCACATACCGTGGGAGTGGAGGGTCCTGAGCAGACACCTCCCTTGGAGAAGGGCCACCATCTCACCTTCCCACGCAACAAATTATCTATTACCAGCACACGATGAGGCCGTCCCTCCCAAATTCCACAGTGCCCACCACTCGCACTACCCCCCCGTGCCACAGGAGCAGCATCAGCAGCCTCGCCACGGTCTTCACGTCATGCAGAAATGGCCATTCCATGTTCTATGGCCACCAGATTCTGCTGAGAGTGTCGGGATCCTTGACTGCCCGGCCACACCTTGTGTGTGTCTGGTGTAGTATGTAGTTTACGAAACCAACGGAAAAGCTCAAAACAGCGACCCAAGACATAATCACTAATTCGGTCCCAAATTAGTATAGGAGGAGGAGGAGTGTCAATTTTGTCACCAAAATGTTTAAAAAAATGTCCTTGTCGCTCTTTTTAGCTTTCCCGTTTACTACCGGTCCAGACATGCAAAAAAACCTTGTTTATTGAAAAAAATAAACAACAAGGGCTAGTCTTGTGTCTGTGTCGTTGATTTCGCGTGTGCCGGGCTACGCTGGTCCCCTCCCATCGGGGCCTCAGGCTCCGGGCAGGGCGGGCAGGGCGGGCAGGGGCTCATGCTTTCCAGGGCTCTGCTTTGGCCTAACACCCAGCCCCTCTCATGTGGCCAGGAGGCCTCAGGGCTAAAGGGTGAGCCCGCCCAGGTCTGTGCACACCCCTTCTAGACCACACTCTTGGAACCTGGGAGTTTCTGGTTCAGAGGGTCCTGAGATGACCTCCAAGGCCCACATGGGCCTTGTGCCTGTCTGTTTCCCGAGGTGGCTCTTTGTGGGTGGCCTGGAGGGAGCTGGGTCATGAAGGTGACAGGTGCAGGGGAGGGGGTTCCATGTGGGAGCATGAGAGTGACCATGCTCAGGGCCAGTTCCCCCCATGCACCAAGGTCCAGCACAGAACTCAGAGGGGAGTCCAAGTGCCCCACGCTGGTGTGGGGCCTTCCGGGGCTTAGTGAAGGGGCAGTCGCCCAGGAGCGGGGCTAGGACATAGTCTACGTGCTACTTAGTGAGGGGCCTTGCAGCCTTTCAAAACTTCCCATGGCAGCTGGATGGGCTTCCCTGGGCTCCTCAGGCAGGCCATGTACATCCCTCCCAGCGCAAGTGTGCTCAGCTCAGGATTCCAGTCCCAGAATGCCAGAGCCAGAGCGGCCAGCTGAACCCAGGACAGAGGAGCCCAGGTCTCATTCCTTGACCCTAGTGGCCTGGGAGGCAGCCCAGGGTTTGGGTCCCCTCTCCACTTCCCCAGGGCCCATCCTTCCTCTCTCAGACTCTCCCTGGCCAGGCTGCTGCCACCCACTCCAGCTCTCCAACCCTAGGTCCTGGGCTCCCCTGACACCCGCCTCCCTCCTTGGCCACCATAGCGGCCATGGTCCTGCCTCCTCCCCATCTCCTTCTGCCCTCTGCCCTCATAGCTGGGGCTCAGGCCCACTGTGCCCCTCAGTGTCCCTCTGGTCTCCCCACCCAAGGTCCTCTCTGGCTCTAAAACCCTGAATTAGGAACCAGGAGGTATGACCCAAAACACTTCCTGGCCCCCAAAATTAGGACTGATGAAGACCAAGTCTCATCCCGGGATCCGAAAGGTTCATCCCCTCCTGGATGAACACTGGACATTGAAATTCATCCTAACTGCATTTCTCAAAGTGGGGGCTTCCTGGCCCACCTCCTGTTTCAGAAAAATCAGCCTGTTTGAGTCATAATGTGCCACCTGGAGTTGCCACTTAGGCAGCCTGCCCCGTATCCCTCGATCTCACCCACCTACCCTCACCCACCCAGGGCGCCGACTCCACACCTGCCTCCCACCCTCAATGCGGCAGAGCCCACAAGACGGACAGGCAGGGGCTAAACGCCAGACACGGATGCTGTCCTGAAACCTCTAGGGAAATAACATGACCACACTGAAGGTTCCCGAGTTAATAAATGCAGAAACATTGATGAAAGGGGTGAGTTTTCTAGGAAAATATTAATCCTCCAAATTCCTCAACGCAGCCAGCAGGAACAGAGTGATCCCCTGGGGGAAGACCCCATGGCAGGCAAGGCCAACCTGGTTTGGAGGCCACATTTGACCCTTCGAGGGAAGGGGGAAGGGTCAGGCTAGAGGAACTGTTCCACAGCAGACAAAAAGAAAAGAGGAAGGCCTTCCAATTTCATTTCCAGAGCTAGGAGAACCCCCAGGCTGAAACCTGACAAAGGTCACAAAACGTGAAAAGAAGTCACTGTCCTCACCCCTGAATAGAGAAACAAAATTTCCAGTGAAATAACAGCACAGCAAGGCAGCCACCTTTTTTGTGTATTTGTTTGTGGGTTTGTTTTGTTTTGTTTTGTTTTGTTTTGAGACAGAGTCTCACTTTGTCATCCAGGCTGCAGTGCAGTGGGGCAATATTGGCTCACTGCAACCTCCACCTCCTGGGTTCAACAGATTCTTGTGCCTCAGGTGGGCGCCACCAAGCCCAGCTAATTTTTGTATTTCCAGTAGAGATGGGGTTTCACC